ATGTGAACTTTGCGGCAGAAATTCCATTTTAGCACTAGATAAAGTCAAACAGAGTGGTTGATTATTTCTCTTAGAGTCAACTTTGACTTTATGTATTGCCATGTTTCTTATCATTTCCTTTTTTAAACTTTAAGGCAGTTTATCCACTATACAAACAAAGCTAAGGTGGCTGCAAATTGATTAAAAAAACAACAACTTAGGATGGATTTTCTTCTTTACACAGAAACAGTGCAAACACAAAATGTCCAATACAAACTTTTTGCGAGTTTTGATTTGAAACTACATGAAATGAGGATGACTGGGGGAAGTGCTCCTTCTGAGGATTAGTTAGCGATAGCTTGACATTTAGGTTGACTATGCGTACTTGCGTGCTGAGAGTTAGTTGAGAAGACTGATTCCACTCTCAAGTCTGTATGTTAAATAGCAACTGCCAGCAGCCAGTTAGCTTAGCTTAGCATAAAGACTGGATGCAGGGGGACACAGCTAGCTTGGCTCTGTGTGAATATTATAGATCCAAGACAAAACTGACAGAAGGGCAGAGAAAAAATCCTCATTACAAATTTGTCTGCTACTTCAGCAGACAGCAACATGGATGGATTAATACACAGGACAGTCAGGCTACAGATATTTAAGAGCCATCAATGAGTCAGTCAGACTAATCGTACATATTCAACTGAACAACCCCTGGGATGTTAACAAGGGCAAGCATTTTTGATCATTTTGCTAACAAGGGGGAAGGCGTCCCCCTCTTCAAATCGCTTACTGCGTGTACAAATACGTACAAATGACAAGACAGACAACTGAGTCGCCCTAAAGAGCTTTTAATGGATCTACATTGTGAAAAAAACACACTTTGAGTTTGAGCCTCTCTTCATTCCATCATCCCTGGTGTCACCGTGGTTAAACCGGCTCATGCCTATATGAAGCACCCAGCTAATCCGTGCAGTCACACTGTATGCACAAAACACATCCGGTGTATCACAGCAGGACGATGAGCTCCGTAGTCCCAGGTAGTGAGTCAACCTAGTGAGGATATGCTTCCTCTTGAGCCGCATATCAATTTGATTGGATATGGTTTGGCTGTTATCATTTCTGCACAGCCACATGAGGGGCACACATGGAGGGAGAAATACAGAGTGAGGAAGGGGCTGTATTTAAAATACTCCTCATAGCTGCCCAAACCGGATTATATTTACTGTGGCCGTGGGAACAGGCACCATTTAACAACACTGATTACTCATAACCACATACGTGCATGCAGGCACCTATAATGACTCTAGGAAATCAGTAACAAACAATCCGTTTATATGTATGTGTGACAATATGAAAGAAAAAGAGTCCACCTTGGAGGGATATGAAGTAGCTACTCTAAACTAGCTGCTTTAGCTGTTAGATGTAAGCTTTGCAGCTTGAATGTTGTCTATAGGAATATTTGGTCATCATAATCCACAAATTATGGTGTATTCCGGTTAATGTTTCGTTTTTCCAGAACAGTGAACTTCAAATGATGGCAGAGCTTAACATTTTTTGTCATTATTCAGTTGCAGGGAATATCACACTGAGTTCATTAACAAGGTGAGTGTTGCAAAAGTTTAACAACATCCTGTTGGTACCAGGGTTATGATAGTAAACTACTATTGTTAGTAGTAGCAGTAGACTGATACTAATTAAAACTATATCCTTTAAAAAAAGATAAAACTAAACTGACAGGATATTGCCTGGTTAAAAAAAAGAAAAGAAATGTAAATTGGTTTCAGTTTTTGTATTTAATCTATAATATATCACGACAGAAAAGGGAGAACGCGTGGATTTCCGTCAACTCTCGTGCCATTGAACCACAGAACTAGAACGGACTCGACCTCCCATGAGATGGCGCTATTTTAACCTTGGGTGTTATTTACAATTATGTGCTTAAACAAACATGCATGTCTCCCCATTATGACAGAAAAATATATATTGTTTAATTAAAAAAGAAAGTTGAGATGTTATGCATGATATGCCACACTTAAATAAGCCACATTAGAAAGGTGATAAATCAGCAGCAGAGAGGAAGCTGCTGGTGCGTCTGCGGCCGCAGGAGGGCAGAGCTGCAGAGAGGTCACGCTCCCGCTCTCAGCCGACACCCCAGAAGTAACACATGGGTCATGTTCACTGGCCCGAGCAGGTGCGAGGGATGCAGAAATAGAGGCCCACCGTAGTCGGTGCTAGCAGTACGTTAAGTAAAGATAACCTCATTGTGGGTTATGGTTAACTTTAGCATTTTTGCTCCCCCAGTAGAGTTTAAAAAAACAAAGTTGCATCCACCTTAATTGATTGCACACACCTGGACAGCAGCTAAGTGACCCAAATCAAACACACCAGGATGTTTAAGGTGCACGAGACCGGCAGAATGGCGTTTAGAGACAGGTGAGTAACGTTACTACAACACACTGAACTCACCCTCCAGATGGGAAAGTCAAAAACTACTTTTTTTTGTGACGTTGGCTACTTGTGTGTTCCTTTTTGTAAATTGCAGCTAAAACTCTCAAAGGAAAACTGTCTTGGTAATTGTGTAATGTTCACAACATCAATCTGGAACAACGCCAACATCACTGTCAGCAATTACAGTTGCTATGAAAGGGTCATAATCTTTGTTACGACTTTGTTTGATTAAAGGTCAACTAAGAGCCAAATCCGGTCAAATATAAATAATTCATGTTGTAACATTTACTCGTGTAACACAACTTCAGTCACTGCTGCTTCTCATTTGTGTTTTGGAAACATAGACGTTTGTCAACAACATAAGACGGGACATTCTATTCTAGCAATTCCGCCTAAATGATCAATGTAATAATGATGGGACTTTGAGTTAAAGTTCATGACGAATCTTTTACTTGCAATTGGCAGATTTCACATACATAAGCTAAGAATCTTGAAGTCCTTCCCAAACTTTTAACATTTTCTAGTTAGTTGGACACATGGATACATTAACCTTAATGACAAACTGAAAAAGTGAGGGGACTTATCTTTGAATGAATTGTTTTCTCTAGCCCCTGATAAAGTTATACTATTGATGTTATGGTTTATTCTTTTTTTTTGTTAGGTTATTTAATTTATTTGGCTTGATAATGCTTGTTTCACCCGCTGCAGTGATTTTATTTATCGTTGGTCATTTTTGTTTAATTGTCTATTTCCTAGTGAGGCTACACTAAGGAAGGTGGTTGTGTAATTTAGCCGTTTCTTTAAGAGCCCAACCCAGTCTGTATTATAGTGGCACATTCCAGCTGAACGTGGTTACCCTACGCTACATGTAGCCTACAGTTCTATGTAGACTGTCTCCCCTGGTGCAGCATGAATGATCCTCTCCTCAGTCACTCACCTCCCCCCCTCCCCCCCTCCCCTGTCTTTTACTCTCCAATGCTTCCACTAATAGGCTGTCAAGTTAAGTCACTTTTATTTACACAGCCCAATATGACAAATTTGCCTCGGGGCTTTACAATGTACAGCATACGCCACCCTCTGACTGAGAAGAAGAAGAGCCCGTGTACTCTGAAGCATCATGATTAAGTCAGGATTAGGTTCATGTTGGAGCAAAAATAAGTGTGTTGAGTGAGAGAAAGAGAGGTAGAAAAACAACAATGACAAATGTGCATCATCATGGGAACGGCAGGAAATGATGGCTCCTTTGTTTCTCCGCCTGTCTTCTCAATAACACAGAAATCCTTTGTCCTCCCTTATATCACAGTGTTTTGTGTTTGCTCCACTCGACCGTCTTCTGTGGACTTTTAGTAAGTCATTGTTTACTTGTTTAAAGGAAAATCATAAAAAATGTTTGTAAATGAGTAGCCTTTTAGTGTTGACTTCTGGAAACACGATGAACAGTGTGAGAATTGCATCTACGTAGATGTCTACATGGGCTGTGGTTTCAGCAGCTCGTTTGCGATGTTCTCATCAGGGCGTCGTGCCTCATTTGCTGTGGAGATTGGATTCTTTCAGCCGGTTCAGTAATTCGATTTTAAAGTGGCTTTTGTGGAGTTTCTGTGAACTGATCCAAACTCTCACCGTAGCTTTATTTAAACTCTGCCTGAGGTTAATGAGATAATACTTGCAAATAACGTTGTGAGCAGTAGCTGGTACTTCTGTGTCAGGCTGACAGTGAAGCTAATGCTATTTGGTAGATTACTATATTTGGAACCAGGTAGCATGCACTGCATTCCTCTAGTGCATCACTGTGGCTCTAAAGAGACATTAGACTCTAGAAATGCATTTATTTAGCGCAACTAATGGGAATTTAACTTTTGCAAATACTTGATGTTTTTGGGTCGAAAGCATATAAAATAATGCAAAAATATGTGCTCTGGTTTGTGCTGTTTAGTATTTTCCTGTGGAGTTTTATGTATTTGTGTAAAGTTCTATCTTTGGTCATTGCAAACTAGCTTGAGCTGTAAATGCTGGTATGTGGCATTAATCTATGCTATACTTGTCCGTATAGAAATTAACATTTTGAATCTTTGTACTCTCTCAATTTAATTTCAATTTTCAGATATACTTTGCTTTATTGGCATGACATGTTAAGACATTTGTGTTGCCAAAGCATGTACTGTAAAAGAAAATACACTCGATAGTCCCTCTTTTACTCTCATTACAATAAAAAAACGAGACATTTGTAAATTTAAGTAGTACATGTTGAGGGCTGTACCGAGAAGGTGGAATCTTCAAAGCTTCATTCGTACCGTTGATATTCAGATGAGTAATTAACATTCAAATGCTGGGTAGCTTTCTTTTTTGCATGTCTATTCATTGTGTTGAAATCCGGTATTTTCTGCGCAGTTGCAGATAAACTTGAGGCACACTAATATAATAAGTATTATACTATTTGTAGAATTATTGAAAAAAGATAGATGTAATCAATTCCAAAATTAACATCTTTTAATCTAATGAAATATTCTGCTTCAATCCAAATTTGTTGGCGATTAGCCTTTTAAAAAAACATTTTCACTGAGGTCAAAATAGTGTTTGCTCTCCCGCTTGATCCACGCAAAAGGAGGCGCACATCTGTATCAGCTGGGCTGTCTAGCAGAGATCTTACAACACCATAAATTATACTTATAATCACCACAACAACAAAACGTGTTTCCACATTCTTTTAGGGTGTTGACGTCACAAAATATGACAACAGATATTCGAAGCTTCCAGTGCAGCCAGTGCTGCATACTTCACCGTGTGTGCTCTATAATGCCTTCAGTGACCTCTGGTCTGTGTTAGAATAAGTCTGGAGTGGAACAGACACACACACACCGAGAATATTGAGTGAACACTTAAATTGACTGTATCTACAGTACGGTGGCTTGCCTTTATGTGGCGTATGTGTGCGGCAGCGTGTCTGTGCGGTTCCACTTGATGAAACCAACACATTCGCAGGTCAAAGTGTAATCTTCCAGCGTTCACCTGCATCTCGTCCTCTAATAACAGCCCACTCTGGCGTGCGTGTCTCTCTTCCAGAGCTCCACAGTCTGTGATTGATGGAACGAGCCGAGCAGCAGAGACAGACTGAGGGAGGCGGATGTATTTATTGAAGCAGATAAACGATGGAGAGAGCGAGGGAGACGTAGGAAGCGGGAGAGAGATGAGCTGGAGATGGAGATGGCACAGCAGTTTCCACCTGCAAAAACAAGGCTGTTGAATCCCCGCTGCACTGCCTCAGACAAAGTAAAAAGAATCTCTCTGTGATGGTATCTGACATGTTGTTATTGCCTTCACTTATTGCACTTTGAGTCGACTAATGGATGTGCACCAGCGGCCACATATGCACACACATAGATGCACACATCTCTCGGAAGTCGCCTTTTTGTGTTTCTCGAGTGGAAGCAAAATCAAAGCATTTCTCTGCTATTCGGGACATTCAGTGAGCAATGTGTCACTGGAGTTTTTTGCTGAACTCCAAGGGCTCTCAACTATTCTTAAGGTGTAAACAAAGCAGGCAGAAGCAGTGTGAGGAGCTTGTAAAAGTCAAGTCGATGTCAAAGCAAAGCAAGTGCCTCTTAGGGAGGAATCTGGTGTCAACAGTTTTCCTCTCCCGCATCCGATTCCTCGAAGAATGCAAAGCAGCAAAGATGGCTGGGTTATATATTACACCTTTTGGAAAGACTTGAGGTGACACAACATGCATTATCAAAGACAGAAAGACAAACATCCACGTGTCGCGCTGCAATAAAAGGTGGATGATTAGCTTAAATGGACAAACAATGGGTGAAGAGATGTCACAATGGGGCTGGTAGAGAAAGGGGAAGGAGAGGTGGTTTGGAAATGAGGGGATCAGGTGCAAGGGCTTCACCAATCTTCTTCTCTTCGACCAGTCCCAATGGCGTTGGACTTTGTCCTTCTGCGACACGGCCGGAACAAAGCTGAGTGAGTACGTTAGCCTGCCCACTAGTTTATTAGTCATCCCCTTAGACCTCACTCGGGAGGAAAGAGGGAGAGGAGGAAAAGGCAATGAAGGCATGACTGAGAAGGAAGGGGAGTAAGAAGCAACAAGAGAGAAAACAGAGGAGCGAGAAGAACTAAAGAGGAACAACAAAGAAAAGTGGAAAGTGTTTTTCCAACGTCACTACAACATATTTATCCCTTTTCTAGCGGCGTGGTCCAACAGCTGCAGTGATGTGGATGGATACCAAAACGGAGGTGGAGGAGGCCAGCAGGAATCACGCCAGCCGCAGTCGGCGTGTGATGAGCGGCCTGCTGTTGTTTACTGGGGACATGGAGCACTTGGATAAGTGCATGCAGGGTAGGAAGACTCTCACAATACACTGCTACATCGCAACACGTTTTCTTACTTTTAATCTTGAAAACAAGGATACAATTTATGACCTGTTTTCTAAAATGCATAATAAATCACTGCGGAGTCTCCTCATACTGTGATTATGAAACTTTTCAAAAAGAGTAAGTTGCCAAACACTTGGAATGTGTTGAAATCTGAAATGCTTACATTGCCATTCAAATATGCAGATGTAATCATTACGCAGCGCCCACGATGAATTCTGCTGCTCTCCCAACATAAAACATAATCATCATTAAACTCCCATTGTAGCTCTTGTATATAAACGCTGAATGTCCATCAAGAGAAACGTGTTTTGTGCTGCAGATTTTCCTGAAAGGTTTTGGGGGGGAAATGCTGTCAAGAACAATGTGTAAAATGTTTTCTTTCTGTGTCCTCAGACAAGCTGTTTGTGCTGCAGCTGGCGGTGTGGGGCCTGAGAGGGGTGGCCAGGGTGATCCTAGCCAACAACCCGCTGAGCGGTGCTCTCATCCTGGCCGCACTGTACTGGGCTTCCCCCTGGCAGGGCCTGCTGGGAACTCTGGGTGTACTGGCCTCTACGCTAACAGCTGTTATCATAGGGCAAGACAGGTGGACTGATACATACTTACAGAAACACACACCCACATGAACGGCATAGAAGCTCATAAAAGTGCACATTTGTATGTACATATTTAATGATAAGTCCATCTTAAAACCACATAACAGAAAAATGTCCCTTTTAAATAATCGAACCCTCATTAAAATCCTGTCTGTTGCTTGGAAGCCGACCCTGTAACACAAGCCTATAATTTGCACCACTAATTGTGATTGAGGGTTCTACTTAAAATTCATGAGAATAACAGCTCCATGACTGATGGGCCTGTGTTCACCCACACCCACTGCCTAGCAATTCTTATTTTGGCTATATTTCCCAATGTTTACTCTATGCCACGCACAGTATAATATGCAACTTTTTTATTTTTTTATAAATTCCAGTTGAGCTGGGGCTCCTAACGGTTGTTTTTTTTTAATCTGACATACTACATAATACATGTTGGTGTCACCCTGGGGCCTCTGCTCATTAATACTGAACAGTTTGTTTCATGGGGACCCATAAAAAGCCACACTCATGTGCGTTTCCATCTTGAAAACAATCTTCCTGTAAATCACTGTATCACACAAATGTAATTGTGATCATGAATTGTGAATCTTTCTGTTCTCTCTTTGTGTTTGTAGCGCTGAGGTGTCAGGAGGTCTCCATGGTTTTAACGGCATGTTGGTGTCTCTGCTGATAGGAGTGTTCAGCACTGCAGGAGACTGGTACTGGTGGCTGCTGCTGCCTGTCTGCTTGGGATCAGCTACATGGTGAGATACACGGATAGCCATCTCCTTATATTGTTATCATTGTAAAGGAGAATTAGGCTTCTTGTGCCTTTTTAGCTCACACAGTCTGTAAATGGCTAATGATCATTTTTAATGGCATCTTTCTTCTTCCTTTTCTTCTCTATTGAGATATACTTCACCGCTAAATACTCTCTCCCAGTCACATCACTGGTCCCATAGCTCTGAAACAGCAGTGCCAATCACAGTTCAACGTGATAACGGCAGCTCAGGACATGAACACTGACCAGTGCTGTTACTTTTCCATTGAGGACAGTCTCTGTATATTGCATGCCTCAGGATAATGTGCACAATAGTACAAATGCACCAGTTTTCACTTCACGCTCCTCTCTCAATCTTTGAAGTCTATTCACTTGGTGACAAATCATTTGCAGTCCCAAGTTTTAAAAGGAAAGCAATGATTCTAATTTTGAGGTTTAATTAATCAGCTCTTTCGAACACCATCTAAAGCATTTTCACACCAAAAGCTAAGTTTGCATCTCAATCCAAAATATAGTTCACACATAGCTTCTTGTAAAAAAGGAATGGCAGGATTTGATATTGCACTCTTTCAATTTATCAACACTTTATAGGAAAAATAATGAACCAAGAAACTAATAGACCGACGAAAAGTATTCGTTCGTGGTAGCCCTATTTCTATTGAAATAAATTCTTTTCTTGCAGATATTTGAGTCTCTGTAAGTACCATTTGAAATCAATCCTGTCTCCAAGAGAACCAAAAGACAATTCTTAGACTTTTTTTGCAGACTGAATGCTAATAATGGAATACGCCAATGCCCCTTCTCTCACCACACCATCGGGGTGTGCCTCCACTTACAGCGTACAGTATGAGAGAACTGTATGCCACAGTGAAGCCATTTAGTGTGAATGTGAACATGTGTCTGCAAAAAGCTTGTAAACCAGGTCCATTTCATTAAAAATGATCAGCATCTCTCACCCCCCGTCCCCATCTCCAGTGTCTTTCTGTTCAGTGGTCTCTCCCCGGTGTTGGACCGCTGGGACTTGCCTGTCGCTGTGTTTCCCTTCAACATCATCATTGTCCTCTACCTCCTTTGTACCGGCACAGACAACCCTTACTTCCCGCACCACCCGGCTACACCACCGGGGCTGCCAGAGCACAATGGCACCGAACTCATTGCAGTCGAGGTGAGGTGTTCCAAAGTTTGATGAAATTTTGTGCATAGGTTGCGTTATACTACACGGAAGGCAGGAGGTTGCTGTTCAAAAGCAGACTCTGAAATCACGATCGCCTCTCAGATCTTGAAGCTTAGTAAAACTTCCAAAATCAATACAATTGATTTTTTCCTACTTTTTTTCATAACCCGTGTAAGTTTAGAAAACTCCCCCAAAAGATTTTACTCTACTATATTTTTGGAGTTTTACGATAAGTAATTGTATACAAGAAACATTTCACCAACAAAGACCACGCTTCTTATGATTGCAAATTAGTTTGAAATAACATGCATAACAAAAAACATAATAAATATGAGAACTGAAACAAACAGGAGATAATTGACTTATACAGGTAGACACAGGTTGTTAAATCAGGAGAAACTTAATTTACAATGAACAAATACATTTATTTAATTGTATAAAGTAAAGTTAAAATTCTGGAGAGTCGACACTGGTGGGGGTGTTGAAGACAGTAGGGGCAGGCTGAAGATAGATGATGGCATGTAGAGTGAGACTGCCCTCAGTGGAAGGAACCTTGAGCACCGGATGTGATGATGAATGGGGAGGAGGGTCACATCGGTTTGTACTGAAATGACAGCTGCCTGCACAGAAGAGAACAGGTCTTTAAAGTTTGACAGGAAATATATGATTGGCTGAGGGAGGCCGTGGCGAAATCGCCCACTGTCAGCTGATAGAGTAGGAGCGAGAGTCAGAGAGATGTGTGAGTGAATGAGAGCATAAAAACACTGTCCTAATGTAGGAGGTTAGAGTAAATCCCAACATTTTACACACTTAGTTAATTATTTTACAACTGTATGATTATAAATACTATATTTCAAAATATCCTCCTCTAAGCAAAGCTCTCTAAGTTTTACTGTACTTTACTCTCAGTAAATAATCAATGCTAACAATTTGATATTCAAGGAGGGATTTGGTAATCCTTAAATTATTATAGTGGCACCAAACATACTAAGCTGAATTCCGAAAAATGCTAACGGACAAAATCTATTCTGAATCCAATGTTACAGGTCAGATATGCTACTGGTTTACACGACAGGAGTTTGGTGAGAGTATCTTACCACAGCATCCTACATCGGACACACCGGAAGCCTGAAATGAGCTCTGAGGCAGACTGGCACGCAGGCTTCCTGCCCCCTGGTAGCATTGAAGACTGGCCGACCATCTTTACACTCTGCTGACGGCAGCCACTCAAGCTCCAGAGGAACAAGTCCTCCGGGCCGCGCTGGCTTACCCCACACAGCGACACCTATCACCATGCAGGGCTTAAGAGCGCGACTGAGTCTTCCCCACAGTCCAAATGCCCACCGTCAGCGTTGGCTGTGAGAAGCCAGGGCTACTACCTGGGTAACTCCGTAGTCTTCCCAGAATGCAGTTCTTAAGACGGGTGTCAAACTCGAGGCCCGCGTGAGGGCCTTGATTTTGACACCCCTGACTTAAGAGGTGCTGCAGGACACTCTCCAAACTGCTCAACACAATGAGCATGAATCTGCTAACATGATGGGACAACACCTGACTGTAATTGGTTGAAAACCTTGCAAGTTCATCAGCCAATTAGCCATATGATAGACCTTCACGTCAACAAAAGTTCACCATCCCAGCATAACTGAGATGGGTGGGGAGCCCCTCCAAGAAGCCTGACCACAGTCGAATGAAATAACTTTATAAATCATCAGCGCCATGCTTTGTCGTCGGACGCAGCATGCTGACTGTGCAGATGCTATGACCAGTGGTTTTGCCGCGGCCTGCCTCAGAGCCTCAGAGCTTTCCAGGTGTCTTCTGTGGAGTTGTTGAAGACAGTAGGGGCAGGCTGAAGATAGACGATGGCATGTGGAGTGGGACTGCCCTCAGTGGAAGAAACCTTGAGCACCGATGTGATGATGAATGGGGAGGAGGGTCACATCGGTTCATACTGAAATGACAGCTGACTGCACAGAAGAGAACAGGTCTTTAAAGTTTGACGGGAAATATATGATTGGCTGAGGGAGGCCGTGGCGAAATCGCCCACTGTCAGCTGATAGAGTAGGAGCGAGAGAGCGAGAGTCAGAGAGATGTGTGAGTGAATGAGAGCATAACAAGACTGTCCTAATGTAGGAGGTTAGAGTAAATCCCAACATTTTACACAGTTAATTATTTTACAACTGTATGATTATAAATACTATATTTCAAAATATCCCTCCTATAAGCAAAGCTCTCTAAGTTTTACTGTACTTTACTCTCAGTAAATAATCAATGCTAACAATTTGATATTCAAGGAGGGATTTGGTAATCCTTAAATTATTATAGTGGCACCAAACATACTAAGCTACATTACGAAAAGTGCTAACGGACAAAATCTATTCTGAATCCAATGTTACAGGTCAGATATGCTACTGGTTTACACGACAGGAGTTTGGTGAGAGTATATTACCCCATCATCCTACATCGGACACCGGAAATACCGCTAACGCATGTTGGCACATGATTTGAAGACTGGCCATCTCCTTTTGATACTACTGAAACAGTATAGTTTCAACAGTGTTGTCTCAAAGGGAACTATTGGAAGCGACTGGATTGTTGATAAAAGACAAACACCAAGCTGAACTAAGGCCAGTTATCCTCCTTGTGTCTGCCATGTTGCAGCCGGAGTGAACGAGTAACTGATCGGAGCAAAATATGCATAAGATCAGCCAGCTATGACTCACCAGTTACTAAGCAACAGTTACTGATGGAGCTCCGGTTCGGAAATTATAATCAGCCCAAACTGTTTTAATCAACAATTCTTGGTGATTGAAACTCATAGTGGAAATAAGGCAGTTGCATTTAAGATAGTGTCTGAGGTCGTGAACAATATTCAGAACGGTAGTGATAGTATGAGTGTCACACGGGTTTCCAGGAAGGAAATATTGAGGTGGAGTTTATAGCTGCAGTTACCTTTTGTAAAGCCAGAGAGACAAACAACTAGCAATAAAACCTTAAGGCCTATATGCATGCTGCTGAAAGTCACCGCGATTAAAATGCAAGCTGTAGAAAATTGATAAGCTTCGATCCACCAAATTGAAATGCATTGCTGTCGCCTTGAACTGCTTCTCATGAGACTTTGGCAAAAGTAATGCAGACTCTCACCAGCTGCTGCAGTCTGCTTTTGATCTCTGAGAGCCAGCTGGCATCTCAATGCTTAAGGGACAACTGAATTCTAATCTCCATGCTGTTTGGAAGCAGCCTCTGTCTTCTTCCAAATGTAATGAGCGTACATAACGATTACTCGTTAGCATTGGTGTATATGTGCTGATCACAAGGACAACATAACCTCACATACAGATACAACAAACTATCCGTATTCCTATAAACATGTATAATAAAACACTTGAATATCTAGATATTAGATATCTTCACTGCTCAAATTTTGTATTTCAGCAGCACTAACCACAATCTTGTATTACGTCAAATACGCAACACTGAAGATGGAGATGACAGCTAACTAGACCTGTAAGAGAGTCGTTTGATTTATTTACCACGTGACATTTGTGTGTTTTTAGAAGCACAGTATTAGACAGGAGTGGTGAAGGATGTTGTATATGTGTATTCCTGAACATGGAGATCTGCAAACTGACTGAAGTTCTCTAAAGTAAATTACCTATGCTGACTAAACCATCTCACCGCTGTTGGGTGTCCTGAATCAAGATTTACATTAACAAGCATCGCGTCGTGGCACAGTGTGTCTCTCGCACTTGATAATGACTTTCCACAAGTTTCAGTCCCTCCGCCTCAGATTATTTCCCTCCTATGAAAGAGTTTCTCCCTCTTTTTCCTGTTCCCTCCATCTGTCCGTCTCTCGCCATTATAAACGCTGTCCTTTTCCCTTCATGAATTCTCTTTGGTGTGTTGCGTGGGAGATCTGAAACCTCTAAATCCTTCCTTTTATCTCTTTGCTTCTCTTCTCCTCAGCCTCTACCCATGTGTCTGCAATTATCCTTCCTCCGTCTCCCACTTTCTGCATCTTTCTTCATCACTTTTTCAATCTGCCTCTTTCATCCTCCTTTGCTCTCCTCCGTCATAGTTCCATTTACAATAAACAGCTAGTAACCACGTTTTCAAGGACAACACAATCAAATTGTAGATATGTTTTTTATGTTGCAGTCCCTAATGTGAAACCATCTCTTCCTTCTCCTCCGCTTCTCTTTTTCCTCTTTCATCTAATTTTTCTTTTCTATTGCTCTTTCCTTTCCTCCACCCATCTCCATTTCCTCTTTCCTTCTCTCCTCCTCCTCTCATCTTTCCTCTGGTTCTCTCCGGAGATGGGGATGACGTAGGTCCTATTTATATTTAATGTCTTCAGCTTTCACTCTGCTAAGGAGGGCGCTCTGGCTGCACTACCACACCAGTGTACTTAATCTTTCTGCACACAGACACACAGGCGTACACATGTGTGTGTACACACATAGAAGCGCACACACGCACAAAGACTTTGTGTGGCTGCAATATAATTAAACACCATTTATGACTTGTAAATATCCGCGACAGGTAGGTGCACCCATCCCGTCGCCATGGAAACTCTTTTCTCCTGACTGTGTGTGTGTGTGTGTGTGTGTGTGTGTGTGTGTGTGTGTGTGTATATACAGGGGACATATGCTTGTTTCAAGGTTCATACTTTTATTTTGAGTTCTTCTGGAACATGTTTACACGCTTTAATGTTCAAGAAAACACATTTTTCTAATTCTGTCTGAATCTACCCGTATTAACCGTCTGTCTGAAACTAAAACAATCCCAGTCTGCTCTGATTGGCTTGTGAGAAAAACATGGTGCACCTTTGCAAAGGTAGTTTTTCGCAAAGTCAGGTGTAGATACTGAGATGGGGGGAGGTATATTACATATAGTCTGCATGTGACGGAAGCCAAATCTGAATGGCTCATTGAATCACATTGTTTCACATTGTTTTCTGATTTAGGCAGCCCACAAAAAACTGACTGGTTTGTCTTATTTCACAGTTTGTACATAGGTCCCTCCACATACCAAAATGTATGTGCACAAGCACTGAAAAAGTGAGTTTTTCATGTGCCCTTTAACTGGGAGAAGAAAAGAGGCTGGTTTCGACTGGAAAGAGAGCCATTGAGTAGAATCCACACATTTTGTCATTATGTTTTTGTGAGTGTGCTTCTGTCTCTTGGATTTTTATACTTTTATATAAAACCTGTGTATAATTATTTACAATGTGCTACATCGTGTAATCCTCCATTTTAAGTTCTCTCTCTCTTGCCCAGGTTACGCGTGGCATCCTTCTGGGCGTGGGTCAGATCTTTGCCTGTGGAGCTTTGGGGCCCTCACTCCTCATCCTGGGTGCTGTTCTGCTCTACTCTCCCCTGCTGGCCGCCCATGCTCTGCTGGGATCGGCAGTGGGAACGTTGGCTGGTGAGTCTCCATCTGAGTGTTCACATGTCCGTGTGGGAGGAGTGGGAGTGTTAGCAAAACGTTATAATATATTATATAATAATAAGGGCATACTGTACTGACCTCATACGATGGTTGGTGTCTTTTAGGTTGAACAAATCTGGGTTGAAGTTCCATATTTTCAGCGTCCATGGGCACCACACATTTTTAAATGTCAGTGATTAGTCTCACTGTATAATACCTGGCCATGGGTATCTGTACTTACACGGAAGCTCCAACATTCCAGACATACATGTCAGTTTACTAGTCATGGGGAGTACTCCTCAGCCTGTGAAAACAGTTGTGTAATAATGTCCTTTGTGGCTCTGGAGGTGCTTTGTTGGGTTTGAGAAATAACCCCTAATTAAATCATCAGGGTTACATCAGCTTGCGCTTTGAGACAACATTTATAACGAAAAGCCTGTAATTCTAACTGTGGGTGTGGAGTTTGCAGAGGCAGGATGTTTCTAGAGCGTTATATACTAAAGATTTAAAGTGAGATTATCTTTCCACCTGCTGTGGTTTGGGCATTTCTCTCCCTTTTATTATAAACAGCAGAGAGGACAGGAAACAAGGGAGAGAGAGATGCAGCGGACTCAAACCGGAGATGTCGCAGTTTGTGGTCGAAATCTCAACCCATAAACCACAGGGGCGCCCCCATTCTGTCTTTTAACCTGTCTCTTGTGAGTTTCCCAACTCGGAAATTCATCCATCATCCGCAGCCTCTTACCTTGCACAGGGTCGCACTGCTGACTGTGGGCAAGAGACAGGGTGCCAGACTATCACTGGGCTGACGCATATACACAGACAACCTTTCAAGTTTCATATTTTGCACCATTAATTGTGATTCCCTTACATTCATAATGTATAAACTTACAGTTTGAAAGCCAAACAGCATCACTTCATGTTTATTTTTAATTCCACCCTAGCCATTTGCTATAGTATATGTTAGAAATAGCAAAGGGGAACAGTAAGCACTAAAATAATAAAATACTTGCTTTATTTCATGACTGAAACTATGTTCTGCTGTCAAAGTTGCACAAGCCCTCCCAACTATGCTAGGAGCATAGTCAGTATCATTAACTCTTCCTGAGGGTAGCTTTATAAACCATCCATTTATTAAACCATCAATCAGGACCTCAAATAGAATGCAGGCTTAGCTCCATGCATAGCAGCTGTTGAATTATAGTAATGTATGCTTTTAACATAGTTAAAGTCTGGTGCTCATATAAATATGAAACTGTAAGAGGCAGTGGCAGCCTGTGGGCTTCTCCGGAAGACAGAGAGCAGTTAGCAGAGCACTGATTCAGGGACAGAGAATGACAAATGCTAGGAGACAAATGCTAGGAGTTCAAAAGATTTCAGCCCCCTGCTTCCGTCTGCAGCTAAGAGTACAATACAGTGTCCTAAAATACTTTAGTGTGTGTGTGTGCGTGTGTGTGTGTGTGTGTGTGTATGTTTGTAGCTATGAGTCATACTGTAAAAAACAGAGGAGTGGGAGTGAGCTCATACATACACATACTTGCACAAACCCGTGGCGTGGACACATGCTAACAGTAGCAGGCACACACACACACACACACACACACACACACACACACACACACTGCTGCAATAAAAGACACCAGTGTGCCAAGAAAGTCATTGAAGAGATGAGACTGTAATGAGATTTTTTAAGGCAACACAGCTGATGGAAAACAACAACAACAACAACAGTGGGAATCGAGCAACAAAGCAGACATGGTTTTTAATGCTATAATTTGTGCATTCTCTCTTCCTTCCCCTTTCATTGTCCATTTGGATGCTTGTAAGTCAGGGCTCCACCAGAGACAATCTTCTGAACCGACTTCCCTGTATAAATGTAAACGCACTTACACACGCCCAGAAATAAATGAAGAAGCGGCACACAGTGAGAGGGTTAAAGAGTGTGAATAACTGATACAAAGTCAGATTCAAAAACGTAATACTGCCTGACAGAGAACCGGAGAGGAAAAGAAGGATCAGTGTCAAGAGACAAAGAAGAAAGTGTCAGATGGAGATGGAGAGTAGAGAAAAGGGATAAAGAGTTGAGGAGGATAAAAGGCAGGGGACAAAAAATAGTGGAGAAAAAGTAGTGCTAGAGAGAGAGAAGTGAATGAAAGTTGTTATAATAAATGTATCAAAGAAGAGAGGACACCCTAAATAATTTTACATTTCTATTCATACTATACTGTAATACTAGGGCCCTCTCTACCCTGCAACACACAAACAATGCCGTTTCTCCATGTCGTCTAAATGCATTTCAAGACCCCTTTTACAGGCTTCTTGGTTTAAAACTAATATGTGCTGTGCGACAACAGAAAGCAAGAATGGAATGATCACTTATCACGATCATTATCTCTGTTAGCACAGTCATTATTATCATCCTAATTATTTTTCTATTATGTTTTTACCAACATCAGAATAGCTTTTGAAGTGTCATTGCTTTCGTCACTGGTCTCGTTCATCTCCACCTTTTGGTACTGTTGTCATCAGTTTAATCATTTCTTTTTCAAGGATGAAGCTGAGGTGAGAGACCAAAGGCATTCAGACAGACAGCAGATGTTTAGAGGCGTGTGGGGTCCCTGATGACAGGCAGGGGAAATCACTTTCTATGAGTAATCAGCCTCATCACCTCTTAATGCTGCCTACTTTATCTGTGAGAAGGAGCAAGAATGACAGAGAAACAGTAGCATGGGTCACACTGAGAGGGAAGAGATGCTAAATTGGCCTGGGGCGGGCAGAGTGTGAGGCCGTATTTAGAGCTGCCACTCAAAGCATCGTGGCGTAAACTATTCCCATAAGGGGTTTCCAGAGCAGGAGATCAGGGGCTTTATGTAGACCAGAGCCTCCACCTCCTGCTGCTTTCATGTTATTGGAGAATAATTGTAGAAATGTTTTAAAGTGGGATCAAATACAGGAGGGATGAAAAGGTAAGGCTGTTGGACAAGTCAACTTGGGTTCACTGTTTCTTAAGTAGCTTTGCATTTATCATGTGGCAACAGATAAAAGGCAGTTTTCAAGTTACAATCTCACATCTGCGTCCCTGGTTTGACATCCTGTAAATGCAGCATCAGACAGGCAGAAGCTCTTAGGAAGAAATTCTTTTTTGGGAGGAGGATGTATATTTATGACCAGTACATGGCAATGTCGTAATTTCAATATCTATAATTTGTATTTCTAAGTAAAAAAAAGTACAGCCTCAGCTGTAGTACTAATTATCAAATGTTAGCATGCTAACACACTGAACATTGTTGGCATTGCCAGCATCTTAGCATGCTGATATTAGCATTTAGCTGAGAGCACCACTGTGCCCTAATACAGCCTAATAGAGCCACTAGCATCTCTACAGAGGTTAAAAACACAAGCATTCTTAGCACACATGATTAATAGCATTAGAAGCATTCACAGAGAAAGAGGATTGTAGTAATGGGCCTATATAACATCTGATATCTGGATCAAGTTAACAAATGAGTCCACACAGAGAGCAATCCATTTAGCTGTATCCACAGTTTTCCCCTCGAAGGCTCCAAATGACAGAATGAGAGATTTACCAGCTGAATGAAGAGCAAAGGCCCCAATGCAAAGCCAGCCATTGCACACTAACACTGGAAAACAATGCATTATTGTGCAGTTTATTTCAGTTGTTCATTCCAACCTATTGCACTGTCCTCCAGTTAGTCTGCAGCTAGTCACTGTGGTTTGATGCAGGCAGCAACTAGAAAAGAGGAGAGATGTTGTGTTTGATATGATAAGAGATATCTGACTCATTCTATTAGCATAGACAATATCACACTGGGAGTGATTAACACACACACACACACACACACACACGTATACACACAAATTAGAAAAACAGTAAAAAAATGAAGTATCCTCTGGGGCCTCCCTCCCACATTGCCATTAGTCTTTAATGACACCCTTATGTGGGCATGGAAGGACGGGGCAGCAGAGTGTGAAGGTGTGATGAAGGAAGCAAAGAAGGGACTGAGGAATGAGAAACAAAGGGGAAATGGTGACAGTGAAGATGGAGAGGAAGATAATGAAGTGTGGAATAAGGAGGAGAGAAGATGAGTGCAAAACAACCGGAGAGGAAAGAGGGAGAGGATGGCAGAGTAGCCCAGAGAGACACAGTGAGGAGGCAGTACTGGGGTGTGGTCAGTGCGATACAGGACCAGACTGCTAAACTGCAGACCACAATGTCTGGTAATAAGGGAAACAATCACAGCACAGCCTGACGCTCATTTATGCACGATTAATACATGCATGATCATTTTGCGTTGATACCGTTGTCATTAGTAATTTGTCTTTTGTTTAGCATGGATGGCGATCATTTTAAATGTGGCTGCTATGCCCTGTACAGTTTTGGGTTTGAGAGAGCTTCTACTAACCCAAATGTGACGATGCAAATGACAGAGTTGTGACATGGCAACCAGGCTATTTAGTGAAGGATAATTCCTTCCCACTCACCCAGGAGCACATTCAGCTTAGTGCAAGTTTGTGTAAATAATACATAGCCACTACAGCAAATAGCGGGTTACTGGTGGTCACTGCAGTCAGACAGCGTTCAGTCATTTTTCATGATATTGCTTTTACCAAAAAAGGTAAAAATACATTCACTGAGATTCATTTGGGTTGGCGTGCCCCCCTGTGCAGTCTGCATAAAGCTTCAGCTTCCCTGTGTAGTGGTTGCTTAGCATGGACGCAAGACATTGACCTGCTGTTCACCCCCCCCCCCGCCTCCCACATCAATGCTCTGCAGCAGTACAACGGAGACACTGGATTATGGAATCAGGACTGAAAAATGTAATCCCGAAATAAAACATTGATACTGAAGTTGTTTATGTAAGAACTCAAATTTTAGGAAATGTGAAAATCATTGTTGTTCAATTTTAAAAGCTTCGTATTCCTGTGTGATTGATATTCAGAGCTTCCTGTTTTTCCTCTTGTCTCCTTTTCTCATCACTCATTACAGTAGAAGACTTCTAAAACAACTGAAACCTTTTCATTTAGTTGCTTACTAGGAGGAGGCACGCAGGGCCTTTGTCAGCACTTCCTCTACCCAGCCCTACTCACCATCGTCACATGGCTACTGGCTGAACCCAATCTTTTCCAAAGTGGAAAATACAATAGACAAAGCAGATGAATTAGATCTCAGCTCCTCCTTAGTGGCGCATCATATCCTGTAAACACTGTTACACAAGTTCTGTTTAGATGTGAGGGAATAGAGAGCGAAAATCAACATTTCCTTATTAGGTTACAGTGCATGCAAATTACAATTTGAACTGAAGCCAACCATACAACAGTGTGTGTCTAGCGCCGCCACATGGATCATTCTAGTACAGCAGCTCTAACAACCAAATATCTGTGTGTGTGTGTGTGTGTGTGTGTGTGCGTGTGTGTGTGTGTGTGTGTGTGTGCGTGTGTGTGTGTGTGTGTGTGTGTGCATGTCTGTGTATTTCCATTTGTGTGATTCCCAGATCTGTCAACAGCAGTGACTCATTATTTATTTTGTAATTAGATTTGTAAAGGTTCAACTCTGAGTGTGTGTGTGTGTGTGTGTGTGTGTGTGTGTGTGTGTGTGTGTGTG